CATTCATCCTGCAGTGCAGCGTGCTGGCGAGATGGTTAAAGAAGCAGAAGTATCCAGGAGACCACAGTGCAAAACGAATGCAGAGCACATATAGAGCTGTCCGTCCCACCTGGGAAAGAAAAATAGCTGCATTTTTCCATCAAAAGAAGTTTTAGAAAATAAAATATTTCTGGGCCTAAGTCATTAGGCTCTTCTCTCCCTCTTCCCCATTTTTTCAGTATTTACAGTATTTCAGTATTTGTTGCCTTAACCCACTTCCCCAACTTGGACTTTAGCTCCAATTTTGTAAGTCCATTAATGAAACTATCAGCAAATTGAAGTTACTTTTCTCTGATCTTCCTTTGATGAAAAACAGTGTTGGTTGATTAATACTCAGAAAAGAAAATTGATAAATACTGTTTTCAAATACCATGTGAAATCAAGATTACTATGGCATAGTCTCCTATTTTAAAGAGGCTCAAAAATCCATATATAATGTATACTTTCACTCACATATATTATAAAAAATTGTGCTTCTCTGAAAATAGGGGTCAAGTAAAGTCTGATGGAAATTCAAGAAACAGATTTAATTAAGCTAATTAATGTAGAAATAGTAGTTTGAACTAATGAGGAATGGATAAGGAAAAAGACCTTTTAGCTGAGATAATAACTTTGAAGGCACACATAACTATTAAAACATAGATTGAAGGAATGGCAAAGAGCAGTGTGTGTGTGTGTGTGTGTGTGTGTGTGTGTGTGTGTGTCTGCATACAATTATTCACTTTTCATAACCTCCATTTAACAACCTACCTTCTAAATAATATACCAGCAAAGAGAAAAATCAAATCCCACAGATATGTATAATCAACCTAAAAGGAAATAATCTTTCTCTTTTCTTTCCCATGCAATTATGTTCTAGTTTACTTTCCTGCTATTCTTTATAGTCTGATCCCACTGGGAATCAAAACACACTTTAGAAATAGAACATGCAGTCAGCAAGTGAAACACATAAACAAAGCACTGAAAATCACAGTGATAAGGACCGGATCAGAAGTGTTCTTCATCTGTAGCTTTTTCTATCTCCTGACTTTCCCTTGGTATTCTTTTCTATAGAGTTCCTGTATCTAGATTTTCATCTTAATACTTCAGTAGGGCAAAACAAAATAAAACCATCACAATCTTTTGGAAAAGTAGGGCAAAACAAAATAAAACCATCACAATCTTTTGGATCAAAATCAAATATCTATTTCCCTTAATGTTGCAGATTATAACAGTAGAATAATTTCTCGTAGAAAGATTAGCGTGTGTTAGATCACACAAGATGTACACCCTCAGTGTACTGTCTCCATTGTATGTAAGCACACATCATTCTCTCTCTGCCTTTCTGAATTGGCAAATGCCATCACTGTCCTCTGAAAAACTGAGGCTCCTAATCCACCCTCTCTCCCAGAAGTCTGTCTCCAGTTCATCTTGATCTTCCCTGATAAAGCTCACGAACTCATTATTTCTAGTTGGACACATCATAACAAGTGTGCAGTTGTCTTTATGTTTCTAATCTCTACCCTTCTGATGAAAGCTGTGCATTTCCACTAACAGCCCTTTCTTAAAATTATTCTTAAAATATTGATTGTAGATAGTCTGCTCAAGTATATTTTCCTATTCAATACAAAATAAAATATAATCTCCTCAATCTGGAATTCAGCCATACATTATGTATATATTTAAATTTACTTGGTGCTTCTGGGATATTATGTCATTATTAGTAGATGTATCTAGTGAAATCTCTCAAGTTCAAGTCAAACAAAGATATCTTGAAGTCAATGATGATGTTATATTATAGTAATATTAATTTAATGCACTATTTAAATTTAGATTACTAGGTATTTTAATCTTCCTCTTTCAAGTATCTGTTCATTCAAATATTTTACTTTCTTACTTCTGCCTTTGAGTAGACTTGAGAGAAAAAAAATCAAACAAGAATAGTCCATTTTGCTATTTTAAATTTTTTTAGCACAGAATTTTCAGTGGACATGATTGGAACTTTTGGCTAAGTTAGATATTTTTCTGTTTTTATTGTGGTCAGTCATGTTTGACCTTGGGTCTTCTAGCACATGCCTTTCACAGGTAAGAGAATACAGATTTCTCTTTCTTTGTCATTGCTTTTATTTTTATATAAATAACATTAAAATTATGTTCTGGCTTCATTAAGACAAAGACTCTAAGTTTCACATGTGTCAATACCGAATAATTTCTCTGGTGTGAATAAACTGTAATAATACATAAGATCCTAATGAGATAACTGATATTGTGAACTGGGAAGAAAGAGGCTACAGGTGTAGGGAAGGTGAGATGGGTAGGGGAAGGGTAATAGGGGAAAAGAAAAAAATGTGAGAAAATGAAAAGATGGAAATAAAGTGTTTGTAAATGGGGAGGGGAAGAGGGGGTGAAGGGAGGGCAGGGACAAGGAGAAAAAATGAGAACCAAGACCTGTCATGTAAAGGTGCAAGATCCCAATAACGAATGTAACTGTACTGTATGCCTAAAATGTACCAATAAAGTCAATTAAAGCTGAAAAAAGAAGATTCTAAATTTCTCATCCAGTAAACATCAAACGTCCTTCAGGAGATTTGTTTATCGCCTTTTTCCATAATGGCAATTATTTCAGAATTATCACTACATTTGTTGTTTTTCTTTGCTAACACATTATTTTATTTACCATTTTAATAAAAATCAGGACTGAGAAGGTCTAATATTCATTTTTCTGTCCATGGGACAAAATACCTGACACCCACAACTTAAAGAAGAAATTTTTTTTTTTTTTTGGTACCGGGGATCAAACTCTGGACCTTGCACTTATGAAGCAGGCGGCAGCACCACTAAGCTAAATCCCCCGCTAGAAGAAGTTTTTTGTTGTTGTGTAGTTTCAGTAGATTCAGTCTGTGGCTGGTCTGCACTGCGGCAGAAATGGCAAGACAGAGGACGGAAGAGAGCTGTGTGAGGAAGCAGAGAGAGAAGCAAAGAGAGTGAGAGATACCTTTGCAGGTCATGTCCTCAGTGACTGGCAATCAAAGCAGCACCAGCCGTACCGTTCTACTCGGTGAGGGAGGTTGGTGCTTTGTAGAAGACCGAGTGTGCAATGTTTTTCATTAGTGCCAGTTAAAACTTGTTTGCAAATCTATTGGGTAGACCTTCACTTTATGAGGCTGGCAGAGAGGAGAGCTGTTCTCACCAGTGTTTTGTGTGGAAGAAAGTGAGGACTGGGCTACAGCAGCTTTGAAACCCCTTAGTCTGAGGGAACAGCAGCACTTTGGATACTTTTTCTGGACGCCTGCACATGGGGAATCCTTTGGGCATAATTTCACACCAGAGTGCTGATGGCAAAACTATTCAGCTACTAATTCATTTTCCAGGCATGACTGGGAGCAAATGCAGATTCATCTTTCTATTTGTTCCCTGTAAGTTTCATTATCAAAAAAATATTTAACATAGTTGATATTTCTAATTATGTATTACAAAATTTCATTATTCACTTAGGATATTTGGGAATTCTAAGTTCATTAAGTTTGGGAAGTCCACCTCTACTCCCTTTGGGAGCATTGTTTCTTTCCTTGATAAAATAGAGCTGTCTGATTGAATTTTGATTTTGGTTTTTGAGTCAAGGGAAAGAAAAAAACTCATTTTTTTTTTTTTTTTACATGAACGTGGCAGTTGACAGTGGGAATTGGAAAATCAAGATTCTACTTGCTCTGCCAGAATTTGTTAAATGAAAAGCAATTATGCTGTTGAAGTAGATTTTATAGGTGACATCAAAGACTGACATCGGGTTGAAATCTTTAAAACCTTTCTAGATAATAAAACTAGGTTAGCGTGTGCAATGCACAGAATTCCACATGTCAGTTGCTTCTGGGAGCGGTACAGTGTTCACTTGTAAGACTCTGGAATCCTGTGACTGGGGAAGAATGGATTTGTGCTTATCCACCTAAGTGCTGTCTGTAAGAGGTCATGAGATTGTGAAGCGTAATCTCTGAAAAGGAAGGAAGGGTGTCCCTCAGCATAGAATAAGTGGTGTCTGTAAGTGTTGCCTTTGTGCAGCAAAACTGCAGAAACAGTTGGCACATCCCACACTGATATAGACTAAATAAACTTGGGACTGGGCGAAAAAAATAAAAAGAGGAGAATGGGCTCAGACTATGACTTAATGGGAGCAGAAGTCCATCCATTGTGGGATCTTTTGGGATTTTTTTTTTTCTTAAATCTCATGATAAAAGAGATGAACTACAGATTGGGTTTTAAAAATTTGATAACAAAAAAATTTGAAGGCATAATTTGTAAGAAAACAGAAATTAATGTTTGGCAAGGAAAATCCAATATTAATAATATTTACTGTAAACATTTACATGCTGTATTTTGATATAATCAATAACTTTTTACATGTATGGGATGAGAGATCATTCTGTCTGGATAAAATAAATACAATATTAAAAATCCAAATCAAATTTATAAAGAAAAGGTACCAGCTCCTGATTTTAAGCTGATGTCTAACAAAGATCGAGGAAGACTGAGGCTACTTTTTAAGCAGCATTTAAAAATATATGAATCTGACATAGCGCTGGGCAACACAGAGCTTTGTTGTACAAGCTAGAAATTTGCAATAACGTTTGAGGACTCCTTCAAAAGTTCTGTGAGTCACTTTGACCTTTATGTCGTCTGTATGAGTCTCAGCTGGGATCAGTTGTTTCTTCTGCAGTACTATCACGTATGCATTCCGGTTTTTAATGAATATACCTGTCTTTCTTTCCCACGGAGACAAGTTCCGAACCAGAAAGTTTGACCCTCATCTGTATCACTTATCCTTGATGGCAACTAGCACATGCCTCCTACAGAAATGACACGAGATAAATATTTGTGGAACGAATGCCCATAAAGGGAAATGACATAATTAATCAAGTAGACAGAATCACATTAACCCGACACGAGGCCCCGACCGGAAATAATTCTCTTGTCATCCCGCTTCCGGTATCATGCTCAGTGTGCCCCTGGGTGTAGATGTTGCTATACCGAGGTGCTAAGTTCAATGAGTATATTCATTCCATTGTAACTTTGTGACACGTGTCCCAGACACGTCTGAGGTCATAACGAACTGATTTGCACGATATTTAACGACAAAGCACTTCGGGCTCCTATTTCAGTATAAGGACAGAGCCGCGCGCTGATGCCAGCTGGCTTGGGCAGTGTGCTCGCGTGCCTGGCGGGACTGCACGGAGGAGACTGTTCTGGCACCGAGCCAGCCAGACACCTCAGAAACATGGACAATTTCCTTTTAAACTAATAGCTTTGGACTTTTGTCAGGTGGATAAGTTAAACCCTGTGATTTTCAAGTACTCAAATGCAAGAAAAATCTGCAAAGGGAAAGGTAAATTAAAATAGAGCTTTTCCTCCTAAATATTCCTCAGTTATTAGTACTATTGTATGTTCGTTCTGTCAGCCCAAGTCAGTGGCACTGGAGCTCCAGAAGGGAATGTAAACTCCTCCCCAGATCTATCGACCCTTACCTGCCCTGCATTTCAACTTCCTGAAGGCAGCAATCCATCTGTTGGAGCCATATGGAAGCCTCTCCATTGTCAAAGCCACACATTGTAAGTTCTGCTTCATTATTTTAAGTTCTGCATCACCATTTTGGGTTATGCTACCTCTAAAATGACAATCTATAGTGTACAATGAGAGCTAACACTTAGTGTGCGGTTATATATCAGATCCTGATTTTTTTTTTGTTTGTTTGTTTTTGAGACAGGATCTCACTATGTAGCTGAGGCTTACCTGGAACTCACTATGTAGTCCAGGCTGGTCTCAAACTCACAGCGAGATCCTCCTGCCTCAGCCTCCCGAGTGCTGGGATTACAAGGGTGTGCTACCACACCCGGATCAGATCCCGATTTAATACCTTTCCCAGATTCTCTTGTGGTCTTACAAATATCCTATTTATCCCAGCTCTACAGCTAGTAAGGAAGAGCTAGGATTTGATCTCTGCAGTCTGGCTACAGAAGCTGTCTGTTCTGCCTTCCAGTGTAGACAAGAGATGGATGAAAAAGGATTAAGAGGTGTTATGAGCATGTACCAACTCCCCATGATGAATGTTACCATTACATACTTCAGTGTGTACTAATAAAAATGAAAATGAAAAAAAGAGGCCTTGGGATATCTGCATGCAGATTGGGTCCTCTTTTTTTTTTTTTTTTTTTTTTTTTTTTTTTGAGACAGGGTCTCACTATGTAATTGGGACTGACCTGGAACTCACTATGTAGCCCAGGCTGGTCTTGAACACACAGCGATCCTTCTGCCTCAGCCTCTTGAGTGCTGGGATTACAGGCATGCACCACCACACCCGGTGAGTCCTCATTTTATACTACATACAAAAATCAACACACATTGTTTAAAAGACTTAAGTGTAACACCAAAAACTGTAACGTTACTAGAAGAAAACACAGGGGAAAAGCTCCACAACATGGGTCACTCTTGCACTATTCGCAATAGCCAGGGTATGAATTAACCCGAGTCCCTCCAATAAATGAGTAGATCAGGAGAAGATGGGCTGATGTGTGGCACGTGTATGTGATCCTAGCACTCTAAAAGGCAGAGGCAGGAGGATGGCAAGTTTGAGCTTAGCCTGAGCAATTTAGACATTTAACAAGAACTGTCTCAAAGTGAACAATTCTAAGGGGCTGGGGATGTGGCTCAGTATGAAGGCCCTGGGTTCAATCCCTAGCACCGCACAAAAGGGGGGATGTAGAATATATACACAGCTGAATACTATCCAGCCTTCTTCAAAAGATGTCACTCATGGCAATGCGGATGAAACTGAGGAGCACCATGTGGATGAAACGGCCTATTGCAGGCAAGGGAGGCAAGGACCAGCAAGAAAGAGTGCAGTGGCATCCAAAATTTCAGTGTGATATTGAAGATTGTGTGTCTGAGTCGATTCCCTTAACGTTACAGCCTCAAGGTGCAACTATTTCCCTACAAATGACTCAAGTGTATCCTTCTTTATGACAGAGCAGTGCTCGATTGTGTATAAACACCACATTTTCTATATCTATTCAGCTGTTGAAAGGCATAGAAGCTATTTCCAAGAGTTAGCGATTATGAATTGCGCTGCTATAAACATGAGTGTGCATACATCACTGTGGTATCATATCTTGAACTCTTTTGGGACCATGCCCACTTTTAATTTGAGTCTTAATTTGAGGGGTCTAAGTCTTTTGAATTTTTTTGCATGTTCTACATATTAGTCCTGTGTCTAAGAAGTGGCTGGCAATTTTTTTTCCCATTCTGTGGGTTGTCTCTCGACTCTGTGGGTGGTTTCCTTTGATGTGCAGAAGATTTTTCATTTGATGTGATCTGTTTTCTCGATTCTTGGTATTATTTTTGTGCAACCAGTGTTTTGTTCAGAAAGCTTTTGCCTGTGCCTATGTGTTCAAGAGTATTATCTATTTTTGTCTTCCAGCAGGTTAAGTGTTTCTGTTCTAATATGTAGGTCTTTGATCCATTTTGATTTTAGTTTTGTGCGTGCTGAGAAATATGGATCTAGGGCCCATGGACCAAGGTTTGAGGCCTGGGTGCTCCCTGGAAATTCACTGGTGTGAGTGCAAAGGCACGAAAGGCTGAGAGAAGCTGCATTGTGATGTGCACAGGTGATGGACGCAAGAAGACCAGCACCCACTCAGACAGAAGGGGCCTTTTCAAATGCAGGCCAATTTCCTCCTAATTTTCATTCCATCTGGGCTGTAGGTAATTCCATGGTGCCACCCACAAAGAGGACATCCCTCTATGCTGGCTGACACGCTAGTCATTCTAGAAAATCCCCAGACACACTCAGAAGTGTGGTTCACTAATCTGCTGGATGTTTCCCCATCCAGTCAAGCTGGCCTCGGGATGAAGTGTTACACAGAGAAACAAGAAACCCCCAAATAGTGATTAAATCAGTTCAGTGGGTTAGGTTAAAAACTCTTCAGGTGTCTTTAGGATGTTACCAAATCCGTCTTTTTCTTTCACTCCCAAAACAGTTGCATCTGTTTTGATGACCCAGTGTTATGCTGCTTCTGTAATGCCTGCTATCCTTTGATCTGAAGATACTTTGCTTCTCAGTGGATGAAGAGTAACCCTTAAATTCTTTCATTGCAATGCTTGTGTGATATTTCTGTTACTAAGATGGGTGCCTTTGTCATAGATCCAGTCAAAGTTTCTTTTTTCGTTTTTAACCTTCCTGGCCCCTAAGTAAGTCCTGACTACAAAAGAGATGGCTTTAAAATCATCCTGGAAGAATGCATGATCATTAAGAAATGTAACTGTTGGGAAGAAAATTACTTTTTTTGTTCATAATTTAGTCATGAGCTCATGTTCTAAATAGGGTTATTCTGATAACACCGTATCATCTTGATACATCAGTTTACAAAGGTTATATTTCATTATTCATGTGTGTGTGTGTGTGTGTGTGTGTGTGTATATATATATATATATATATATTCAATTCACCTTCTGAACTCTTGATGGACTCACGTGTTCTCTTCAGACCTGTCTGGCTTCTCGTGTCACTCCTTGATGATTGTCCTTTACTTGGACTTCACTTTTTACTCTTTTCTAATTTATTGTCTACTTGTTGCTAGAGTGATTATGCTAGTTTTTTGAGCCTGTAGATAATCACCTTGTGAGTAGTATTACTCACAAGCAGAGGTCACTGTATTATAGTCATGGATTTGAAGTCAGGAATTTGGAGAAGGCACAGAACGGCGGATGAGTCCCTGTTCTCTGGTGTTTGGAGCCTCACTTGGGAGTACTTCAACAATCAAGGGTATTTCAAATACCTGGAAGGTGGAATCATCCCTTACTCACCTGGCTGCTTTCTCAGCAGGGACAGTTAGAAGGCCATGAGTGTAGATAGGGGAAGCCACTGTGACCTCTCCAAGATGGTGTCATTGGAATCTTCCCGTGGACTTTGGCTTATTCCAGGGAGAACAGACAAAGAGAAGCAGGTGGAAATTTGTGGCCTTGTGTGACTTGGTCTTGGAAATGACTCCATTTTCTCAATCTGTGTTTGTTGAAGCAACCACAAACCTGGCCAGATTAAAAGAGAGGAAATATATATTTCACCTCTTGAGGGGGACAATGTCAAAAAATTTAAGGTTCTCTGAAGAAAACCACTATATTGATTTATATAAATCTGATCAAGAAATTTCCTGAATTAAAATACTTTTCCTTCTTCCTTTACAGTGGACTAAATTGAAGCATTTGGCATGAATACAAAAAATTTATAACAAGACAGCACAGTCTTATTAAAGCAGAAACCATAAAAAGAAAAAGTATCAAATAAAAATAAATTAAAAGGCTTTAAATATAAATGTGCAGCTACAAGATGAAATGTCACAGACAAACTTAAGAAGACAAAAAACAAAATATGAAAAGTTTTCTAATAGTGACCCTCACAAGATTATGTTAATATGTAGAGTGGTTATGGATTTAGAACAGAAAGACAGCTTGTTTGATAAACGAGTAAAGGAAATGAAGAGACATTTCTCAAAAAGGTAATACATATAATCAGACTAATTATTGAAATGCAAATTGAAAAGAAATAATGCCTTTATCTTTTGATTTGCTTTAGTCTAATATCTGGAAAAATTTAAAGAGTTTGTAGAAACTCTTGTGAAATAAGCACTTTCGTACAGTGCCTTTAGTACAGCATGTTGGAATAAACTTTCTAGAGCACATTTTAGAAATATGTATCAAAATATTTAAAAAGTAAAATGCGTTCCTCCTGTATCATGGTTTCAAGGCCAAAAATTTATTCTCAAGAAACACAAGATGAACAAAGATAAATTAAATGCTGATCTATTTATTCATGTAGCACATAATGAAATAGTCGCACAATGGACTGTATACATAGTTTTATATATATATATATACATATTAGTTTATATATATATACATATTAGTATATATATATATATATCAGTTTGAAAGTCATCTAGAATCACAACACTTTGAAGAAAAAATAGTATTTAATAGCTAATGAAATACTTCTCATGAAATATTCTTCCCATTAGTGGTAACCATTATTAATTTGTTTAGTTATTTTTTTCTTGAAATTTACTTCCACATTTGAAAGCAACATGTTGTTATACCACTTACCAAATTTCCCTATATACGTTGACTTCCGGTTGGTAAAATAGGGAGTCGTTCTCTGGACAGCCCAAGCCCAAACAACCGTGTTTCCCGTCCTCACGATACAGTTATGCCACATTTTCAGGGTTAAATCAGTATTACTCTGGTAATTTGTTCCAGCAGCCCTAGAACATGTTTTTTTGTGTGTTTTGAGACCGCTTATCATTTTGCTTTGTTTCTTGATACTTACGTTTTCAAGTGTGTAGTACAGTTGTTTCATTGCCTGTTACTGGGTTTGGGTGTGTCTGTTTCCTTATGGCTGAATTTCAGTCCTGTATTTTGGCAGAAATGGACTAGCTGATGTTGTATCCTTTGTGCATCGCCTGTGTGTTATACCAATTTATATTATTGATGATCTCTAGGACCAGTTGCTCTTGGAACCCAGAGTCACCGTGTAAGATGCCTGGCTGTCCTGAGTGCTAGGCTGTGGGAAAGCCTAAGCTGGCAATGTGAAAAAGGAAAAAGAGAAGCCCATCGACCTCTGAAATGTCCAAGCCTTCAGCCACGGAGAGCTGCACCAGATGAGGTTCCAGATGACACAAAGCAGAGGTAAGCTGAGATGTTTCTTATTATTTTGAGGGAATTACTCTGGAGAATAGAGCAGCAAAGTACCCTGCATTGTCTGCATACCCCGACAGCCAGCACTAGCAGGAGCGGAGAGGGGAGAAGGAGGATGCAGTTTTCTCACGTGGGGCGGTGCAGATTCGTACTGGTCCTCCAGTGGTTCAGTTCAATGTGCTGCTCTCAGTCACTGTTACTATTGCCTCAGAGGCTTGAGCCTCGCTGGTTTAGTTTCTCTAGCACTTGTGTGTTCTTCATCTTTCCAGAGTGATGGAAAATGTAGCAGCTGCTTGACCACGTGCGATGGGAGGTTGGATTTGGGATTTTATTCCTTGTAGTCCTCTCACTGAGTTTTGCTCAGCCCCATTTCTTGCCCCTTCATTCTTCTGATTCATTTGGCTTTCAAGTCTTTCCGGTGTTCTGCCCATGCAGTAACTTGCCTTTCTTGCTTTTCCCTTGGCGGGACTTGAGGCTCCCATTCTTGCTTCTGATCCATAACAGTTATAATTTGCCCATCTGCTCCTCATCTTTCAAGGTTTCATTGATATTTCCTGCCTGCAGTCATTTTAGCTTCCTGTCTCTTTGTCCTGTGGGTTTATAATTTTAATTTTTTCATGTAATTTTAGTGAGTTTTGGGAGAGGATAGGTAAATATATCTTACATAAGAAAGTTATGAATTACTTGTAGAACTTTCAAAAATCCATGCATGTTTCATTTAGAAAAGAATTGATCATTTCACATTTCTATACCTGCCTTTATTTTCAGGGGTAGAGGGGAAAGTTTATAATGGACTTCCTAATTTTTATAGTTGGGTGTACTGCATAAGAAAAGAAAGCTTTAAAATATATTATAAGAGTTGTTTTACTTATGGCAAATATGATTGAAGAGCCCATGGGAAATCGTTCTATCATTTCTTAAGTGCAGCTGCCTTTTGCGATAAAACTATTAGTGCATCTTTAAATGAAAAATATCAAATCTCTGAACTGTCTACAGCTTTCCACTGAATGTGTTCCTATTACGGTCTGTAATTATTCTGTAAGGAAGCAAATGTTTTAACATCCATTATAAAGTCTAGTAAAAATTTCAGTGAGTTATGAAATCTTTAGAAACATCTTGGGAACTTCATGACTATAACTAAAATATATTGACATTTGATGAGGTTGGGATCAGGATGGGGCCGTCCACTTAAATTCCTGGAATCAAGAGCCTCATTAAGTCTTTTTTCAACAGAAAAAAATGAGCTCTATAAAGTTACCCTAAGGGAGATACTTTCCAGTCACAATAAAGTCCACTAAAACTATTGTGCCCTGCGTGCTTTGGAAATGAATTTGGTAAACAGATTTTTGAATAACTTACCTTCTTTTCAACATGCAAGTCCTATTTTCATTCAGTGAGCAAAAAAGCCATCATTTTGATCAAATGGAATCACTTGTCAACCTACTGTGGGCGCATACATCTCTCCTCTCTGCTTTGCAGTTATTATACAGCGAATGGTCTGAGCCATTTTCAGATTAATTGTAGACAGAGGAAGTGTCTTGGACTGAGTGTGATTACTTTACCCTCACACTGCCCTGGTTTGCTATGTAGCCTTAGTCAATTTATTTTATCTCCTTGAATTTACATTTATCTACACAATAGAAGAATTGAATGAGATGCCCACTAAGATGACTTCTTCCTATGAGGACCACTGCTTTGCAGGATGGAAATGGAAAGCTGGAGCCCGCTAGTTAAAATGCCCCTGTGATGTCATTAAGAGCTCAGCACATCTCTGGAACAGCTGCTTTTACAGCTCCTGGAAACTAACGAGGACAGCTTTGGCGCATTTTCAGGGGTCAACAGTAATTTAAAGGAAGCAGTTCAGGCAGGCACCATTTTCTTTTATTACTGAGTGAAGTTTTTTTTTTTTTTCAAATACTTATTGAGGTGATGTGAGAATTAGAAAACAGTGACTCACTGATGAAGAAATGAAAATTAATAGAATCTTAAGAAAGCCAGAGTTATTGGTATCTACTCTTGATTTATTGCCTCAGTAGGATGAAGATTAGATTCATCCTCGGGGTGAAAGATGCGACCGGGAAGCGGCATTCTTCTCTAACTGAACACGGTGAACAGATTTTTATGATGAAGCGGGGCCATCAGCACTTAGTTTCCATCTATCTCAAGTGTATTTTAGTTGAACTGTAACTTACATCTGATACTTGAACCAACATTTTAGTATGGTAAAGTGGGAGAATCATGAATCTCTAGCAGTTTGGTCAAGTCATTTTCTTTAGCGTATTACCCAGTTTAAACTTCACAGAGGAAAATCAGGACCAGTTAGATCTCTGGCAAAATTATGTTAATTATAATGATTTGCTTTTCAGCCTTTTTTCAGTGTCAACTTTTTTATTTCAAAGGAAAGACTCCCCCATATGGTAAATTAAGGCAGCTATGAAGAAGAGCTGTTCTGCTGAGAGCTTTCTTCAGGGATCCTGCAATCACATAGCATAGACTGTGGCTGTTAAACTTGGTAATGTGAATTCCAAAGTTCCACAAGTGGTCCAGGGAACCCAAATCTCATGCTTTGTTTTTGTTTTTTTAAAATACGAATTCAAAAAGCTTGTAGAGTGATTTTGATGATCAGTTTTGTCTGAGACCTGTTGATTTTCATGCCTTCATATTTTAATGACCATAAAGGAAAGAGTTTAAAGAAAAGTTCTGATTCTGGGATATTCATTCCTTGCCTATTCTTGGATTGCTAGTCTAGGTTCACAGCTCTGGAAATTGTTGCTTACAGGGCTCACTCATTAATTCAGTTACTCAATGTGCATTTACTGGACTTAAACTATGGGCAAGGTGTGCTGCCTTGACTGATTTTGAAAGAACTCACAGTTTTATGGGAAATATCATTTGGACATGATTATAACAGAGGTACTGCAATAAAACTGTCTAGTGTGTACTGATTATAACCTGAACTCTAGATTCAATTTTAAAACTTATTTCTATAACGAAATTCTTTTATTTATTTATATTTTTTTCAGCTTTATTTGAGTTTATTGGTACATTTTAGGGATACAGTACAGTTACATTCATTATTGGGATCTTGTACCTCTACATGACAGGTCTTGGTTCTCATTTTTTCCCCTCGTCCCTGCCCTCCCTTCACACCCTCCTCCCCTCCACCTTTACAAACACTTCATTTCCATGTTTTCATTTTCTCACATTTTTTTCTTTTCCCCTATTACCCTTCCCCTACCCATCCCACCTTCCCTACACCTTTAGCTCCTTTCTTCCCACTTCTAAATGTCAGTAATCTTATTAGGATCTTCTGTATTATTGCAGAATATTCATAGCAGAGAAACTATTCGGTATTTACACATGTGTGCCTTATTTATTTCACTTAGGAGTATATCTTCAATATGTATCCATTTTCCTATGAATGAATCTATTTTCTCGTTCTTTATGGCTGAGTAATATTCCATTTTATAGAAAAACCACATCTGAAATTCTTTTAAAAAGGCTGTTTATTGTACTGAAAATGGGAGAATTTTATCTTACATTAATATAGTTTTAAAAATAATATTTCAATTTCATTATGATTTATAACTTTTAAAATAGTTTCCTATTAATTCATGAAATATAATTAAACAGTGTTTCTAGAACTGCAACCTAGTCAAATTTCGCTCCCCCACCAAAATGTGGTCAGAGTTGAGACGATCCAAATTGAAGTACTCCTCATACATAGTCCGAATCTTAGATTAAAGATAATTTCCAAATATTAAAACTAAAATGAATAATTTTAATTTAGCATAGTTTAGTACAAGCTAGACATAACTTTGAAGAAAATAGACAGTTCCCTTAAACATAGGATTTCACAGACAAAATGTTCCACATTACATTTGTGCCTCAAAGGCAATTAGCTGAGTCACCTACAGAATTGGAATTCAGCTCTTTCAGGTTCCTTCCTTACCTAAAATATGTGGACTACATCATATCTCCAGGTCAGAGCAATCTTTTGGCAATTATGTGGGCTATAAACAGTCATAACAGATCAGAATACAGTCACTGTTTTGTTAGAAAGCACCTACTTCATGTTAATTCTTTTTTTCAGTACCAGGGATCGAACTTGGGTCCTTGCGCTTGTGAGGCAGGCAGTGGAATCATGTTAATTCTTGATGAAGATAACATTATTAAAACTTGAGGAAAAATTAGAAAAGAGTAAGTGATGCAACACTTCTGGTAGACATTCTTTCCCATATTATAAAGATAAATTAGGAAAGGGAGGAATGAAGACCATGATCATGAAGGCAAATTTTTGGCCTAAAATTAAAATGTCAAAAATATTCCCAATTATATATTTCACTAAGCACAAGCACTTGAGAAATCAATCAGAAGTAAGAGAGAGAGAGAGATCATTTGATAGTATGACAATCTAGTTTTATTATTTATTCAGAGCTAAAGAGTAGTGTTTTTCTTATAAAGAGGATGCTTTAGAAAATATGAAAGGATGCTTTGTTTTCATCCACATTAAGAATTCTACAGGTTGGGCTGGAGATTTAGCTCAGTGATGCTGCTGCCTGCCTTGCAAGTTCAAGGTCCTGAGTTTGATCCCCAAGGGAAAAAAAATTCTACAGCTTGCCAAAAAACCAAAACAAAATAGAAAATCAAAGTAAATCTCAGCCAGCAGCAGTGTGGCAGGTCCAGCCAGGGCCCCACCCTGATCCCAGCCACTTGAGCACACAGGCCCAAGCCAACACCCTGCCTGAAAAAGAGCTGCATGGGCTCACAATCATTAGGCCGAGGCCAGCCCTGATACCATCAGTAAGTGCATGCAGATACCAGGGAGCAGCAATGTGGACCAGAGCAGTGTGGCTTCAGGCAGGTCTAGCCAGGCACCTGCCTTGACACCAGCAACTTGGGCACCCAAGCCCAAGCCAAGGGCCCATCTGGAAAAGAGCTGTACAGGTGCACAAGCAACAGCCAGAGGCTTGCGCTATCATCGGTAAGTGTGCTGAGATGATAGCCGGAAGCCTGCTCAGACACTAGGGACTGGGGTACAGAGTCCCCAGGCAAAGGCCCTCTCAGACAACAGCTATGTAGGTGGGGCAGGCCATAGCCCGAGGCACACCTAGATACCGTCCCAGTGTGCACAGGCCCCAGCCAGAAGCCCACCCAGACAACAGGTCAGCTTAGGGATCCAGAAGGCCACAATTCTGAATTGGTGCACTGGTGAGCAGCAGAGAAAAGGGTGCTTGGTGGCTTGCTGAGAATTAAAGCCCACTGGATAAGCAAAAAGTTGCCTCAACAAAGGCAAAGCAGGCTGTCTCTGTTGAAATGAGAAGACACGTAAACAAGTCTCAAAACCAGACTTCCAGATCACCTAAGGAAACCCCAAAGTGATATGAGGTGGAAAAATCTGTTACTCAATTATCTGGACTCCCTGAATTGGCAATGGGGGAGGACCTGGAAAAAATGAAATCAGAAATAATTTCGCAGATAACAGCAGAGATTATGCCCACAGTGCAAGACATGATTAATAAATCTAGAGCCGATATAGATTTAACAAAATAGAAGAGCTGAGGAACATGATGGAATCCCAACATAGGAAACAAATGTAATCCATAAAACAGATGCAGACAGATTTCCAGGAGATTAAAAACTCAATTGAGAGTTTATGCGGCAGAATGAGCCAGTGTGAGGACAAAATTTCAGATATAGAAAATAGGTTTTCAATTGGTGATCAGGAAAAAGAAAAATTTCTTTTCTTTCTTTCTTTCACTCTCTCTCTCTCTCTCTCTCTCTTTCTCTCTCTCTCTCCTTCTTTCTTTCTTTCTAGTACTCTGATCAAACTCAGGTCCCTCTGCTTGTGAGGCAGGTGGCAGAACCACTAAGCTAAATTTCTGGCCTAGAAAAATTTCTAAAAAATAGTAAGGGACCATGACAAATCAATCCAGCAGCTACTAGACGATGAAAAGAGGAATAACATAAGACTGATTGGAATCAATGAAAATACAGGAGAGAGTGTAAATGACATTAAAAAAAAAGTGTTCACAGAAGTAATGGCAGAAAACTTCCCAAGCAGGAAAAAGAACTTGACATACAGATAAGTGAGGCATATAGGACTCCAACTAACCATGATGAAAAAAAAATACACCTAAGCATATAATAGTTAAGATTCCAGAAACCCAATGGACAAAATTGTACAAGAAGTTAGAGAAAATAAACAAATCACATACAAAGGAAAGTCCATCAGAAGTACTGCAGACTTCTCAACACATAGGCTCAAGGCAAGAAGAGCTTGGGGTGATGTATTTCAGGCTCTAAAGGAAAACAACCTCCAACCCAGACTGATGTACCCTGCAAAACTATCTTTCAAAATTGATGGAGAAATCAGATACTTTCATGAGAAAGAGCACCCAAAGAACTTCATGGATACTAAATTAGGACTCCAAAAAATTTTAGAGAGTGTCCTAGGAAAAGACAATGAGGATCACAACCACAGGAAGCCCAGGAGAATGAATCCATCAGGAACAGCAAAAAATTAAATGCAAAGTGGGAGAATCCAACAAAAAGAAAAAAGTCATGACATGGATAAGTCAATGCATATCAGTTGTAATAATAAATGTTAATGGTCTGAATTCACCAATCAAAAGAAATAGACTGGCAGAATGGGTCAAGAAGCAAGATCCAACAATGTGCTGCATATAAGAAATTGACTTAATTCAAAAAGAAACTCATAGACTGAAAGTTAAAGGGTGGAAAACAATACTTCATGAGACAGAAACCAGAAAAAAAAAGCATGAACAGCTATTCTATTTGTAGATCAAATAGGTTTCAAACCAACACTGATTAAGAGGGATGAAGAAGGACACTACATCCTTGTAAAGTGAAAAATCCAACAGAAATCATGAATATATATGCACCGAATATTACTGCACCCAATGATATTAAATAAATAATAATAGACATGAAAAAAATCGAATAAACACTATTACAGTAGTGGTGGAGAACTTCAATATCCCACTGTGACAAGTAGATAGATCAACTAGACAGAAAACAAACAATGAAATACTAACTAGAACTCAATCAAACTTTGGAACAAATGAACTTAACAGATGTTTTCAGAGTGTTCTACCCCACAAAATCAGAATACACATTCTTTTCAACTGCACATGGGTCATTATCCATAATAGACCTCATACTCA